TTGACTTCACTTGAGGCATAGAGTAGAGAATAGGATGGAGGGAGAAAAGACCCAGAAGAGAGAAAAATGCATTTCTAACATTACTCCTGGAAGGGGAGTTGCTGCATCCAAGGTATAGAGATTGTTAGATGTTGCCCAACTGATTTCTAGAGAGACTATACTGTATTACTTTTGTACCAATAATGCCTGAGAGTCTTCTTATCACCTGTGAAAACTCACAAATATAAGTAAGCTTTTTTTTTTTTTTGTATTGGGAATTGAACCCAGGGTGCTCTATCACTGAGACACACCCCTAGTCCTTTTATTTTTAATTTTGAGACAGGGTCTAGCTAAATTGCCCAGGCAGGCCTTAAACTTTCAATCCTCTTTACTCAGCCTCCCAATAGCTGGTATACAGGCATGTACCAATATGTTTTTTAATTGTGTCATTCTGACAGGGAAAACATGGATGTTTTGGGGTATTTTAACTTGTATTTTTCTTGTAGGAGAATGGATACTTTTTCATATTTAAATCTATTTTTACATTTTTTTCTTCCATGAACTGTATGTGCATGTCCTTTGCCAATGAGTTTTTATGTATTGATTTGTTCTCTTTTTATGAGGTCAATCAAAAGACTCAGTTAACAACAGAGTAAGTGAATTGTGCTTTTCAATGATTTTTGGATGATGAATGAATGACCTTTGAGCATTGCCCTCCCTCCTGTACCTGCATGCTTGATCCACTAATCATGTAACTTGTTGATGCATTCCTAGAACTCCTTTAAATTACCTTTGGGTAATCTGCTATGTAGAATTCTTTGTCTCAAGAGTACCACATTTCTTTCATTATAGAGTTCATTTCAGTATGGAGAAAAGCCAGGTAATGAATCAGGTGAATATAGTGGCTGGAGCATTTTTACTGGTCTAAAATTAACAAATGGCTAATGATGTGTTTAACATGGAACGTTTTCAGAGAATGCCCTGGATATGGTGAACTGTGATAATTGCTCATCGTTCGGTAGGTCTCTTGAGTTTTTCCACCATTGATTCCCTGGCACCCCCAGGCTTGCATTCCTTAGTAATGAGATTATATTTGTTTTGCAGCAACTTCATTGAGATATAGTTCATTCCCTGTACAGTTCACCCATTTAAAGTGTATAATCCTATTGTGTTTAGTATATCCATGGAGTTGGGCGACCATCATCAAAGTCAATTTTAGAACTTTTTCAGTCATCCCTAAAGAAGCCCTGTATCCTTTCATTGTTACCTTTGCAATCCTCTCATTGTGCCCAGCCTAAGCAGCTACAAATCTACTTTCAACCTCTATCTGCTAGCCCATTATAAACATTTCTTATAAATGGAACCATATAATATGCGTTTCTTTGGCTTCTTAGTATAATGTTTTCAAGGTTCTTCTATGTTGTAATGTACATTCCTTTTTGTGGCTGAATAATATTCTATTGTATGATCTATCACATTTATTTATCTATTTGTCAGTAAATAGACATTTGGGGTGTTTCCCCCTTTTAGATATTTTGAATAGTGCTGCTGTGAATATTTGTATACACATTTTTGAATAGATATATGTTGTCAGTTCTCTTGGAGATACACAGGAAGCGTGTGTGCACATGCACACACCCACACCCCCCCACACACACACACGTGCGCACGCACACACAGCTCTCAGAGTAGAATTGCTAAATCAGGTTGTAATTCTGTTTAATATTTTGAGGAACTGCTTTGCTGCTTCCTACAGCAGCTGCACCATTTTAAATCTCCACCAGCATTGTTCCAGTGTTCCAGTTCCTTCACATCTCACCAACAGTTGTTATATTGTTTTTTTCCTCTCTATGTGTGTATGTATTTGTGCTTATTATTCATTGTAGCATCCTAGTAGGTTAAAATGGTATTTCATTGTGATTTTTTAATGTTTATGATCTGTGCTTGTAATGGTTAATTTTATGCATCCACTTGACTAGGTCATTGGATACATAGAAAGTTGATTAAATGCTATTTCTGGTGTGTCTGTGAGGGTGTTTTCAGAAGAGATTAGCATTTGAATTGGTGAAGCAGATGGCCCTCCCCATTGTGGGTGGGTATCATCAATCTGTTGAAGGCTCAAATAGGACAAAAAGGCAGAGGATGGTTGAACTAACTCTGACTACTTGAGCTGAGACATGAATCTAATGCCCTCAGCACTCTTAGGCTTCAGACATATACTGGAATGTACACCATCAGTTTTTTGGCTCTCAAGCCTTTGAACTTCACCAGCTCCTGGATCTCCAGCTTGCAAATTGACTCATTAGGGGACTTAGCCTCCATAATCATATGAACCAATCAAGACCTCATAATAAATAAACAAGCAAAGATATCTTATTGGTTCAGTCTCTCTGGAGAACCAGACTAATACAATGCTTTTTAAAACCCCCCTCCCTGGTAAAATATGCATCACATAAAATTTACTCTTTAAACCATTTTTAAGTGTAAGGTTTAGTCTAACTACATTCACATAGATTTGCTTCCTTGTGGTTTGGGTTTGCATTTCCCTGCTGATTAATGATGCCAAGCATCTTTGTACTATGCAGTTGGGCATTTGTATGTCTTCCTTGGGGAAATGTCTGTTCAAGTTCTTTGGTCATTCCTAAAATGAGTTGTCATTTTGTTGTTGAGTTGTAATTCTTTATATATTCTAGATACTTGTTTCCTTTGTACCTGTGGGATTTTAATTTTAGAGGTGACTAAGCGACACAAAGAGGCCAATGCCATAGAAAGAAGGAGGAGGGAACACACCATAACACACAGGGCCAGAGGGGGAACAGCAGGATGGTCAAGAGACACACCACTGGAATAAGGGGCAGGCATAAGCCAGAGCCTTTAGTGGGGCTTCTGCAGGAAGGGAAAAATCAGAACAAAGGAAGTACATAGTACAGGCTAGTTTGAATAATTCTACTCGGCTTGGGTTATAGTGGTGGTCTCTAGTTGTCTGACATCTGACGTTGGCATGATTTAGGGCAGGGTCAGTATTGGCTTAGTGTATGAGAGTTAAATAAGAAGGTGGTGGCACAGACATAGTTGGATTGGCCAGTCTGCATATGAAAGAATTTCAGGCAAGCTGAGTTGCAGGAGAGGTACATTTTGGCTGCTAATTTAGCCCTGTGATTAACAGATGCCAGATATACATAATCAAAGAAAAACGACAAAATAATACCAAACCCTGAGTAGATGTAGCTGCAAGTACATTCTCCTGTCCTTGGTTTTTTCTTCACTTTCTTTTGCTAATGTTCTTTGAATAAAAGTTTTAAATTTCGATGAAGTTCATTTGATTATTTCTTTCCTCTTGTTGCTTGTGCTTTTGGTTTTATATCTAGAAATCCAAATGTAAGATCGTGAAGATTTACTCCTGTATATGCTTCTAAGAGTTTTACGGTTTGGCTCTTTTAGGTCATTGTTCTGTTTTGAATTTATTTTTTATATGGTGTGGGATAAGAATACATCTTTTTTAAACTTTCATGATGTAAAGTATAAAGAAATAAGACAAACTATGAAAATCAGTTTGCTAATATCTAGTACAAATTCATTATTTTTCCCATTTCCACTGCTAGGAATGTATCCTACAGATACATGCAAAGGAGATATATATATATATATATATATATATAACAATTTATTCATTGTAGCTTTCTTTTTTACATCTCTTCTTTAAATAGTGCATTAAATAGTGAGATTTATTATGTCATATTTTTCCATGAACATAATTTTATCAATCTCATCATGGCATTCTTTTAAAAATATATAATAATAAAGAATTGCAAACAATCCAAATGTCCCTCAATTTATGTTAAGTAAATTATAGAATAAATGGAATACTTATAAGGCTGTGAAAATAGAATGAAGTTCTCTGTGTTGATTTGGAAATCCCTATGTGACACCTTTTTATTACTAGAGTAGAATGTGCAAGATATTTAATTTATAAAAAGAAAAGTTTTGGACTGTGGTTGTGGCTCAGTGGTAGAGTGATTGCCTAGCACATGCAAGGCCCTGAGTTTGATCCTCAGCACCACATAAAAATAAATATATAAAATAAAAGGTATTGACAACTACAACTAAAAAAAAAAAAAAGAAAAGAAAAGAAAAGAAAAGAAAGGTTTATGTTTGGCTTACAGTTTTAGAGGTTCCAGATCATGGAGTAGACCCCATGTCATTGGGCCTATAGTAGAGATGCTAAGTGAGCACCCTCAGTGACCTAAGGATCTGCCACTAGGTGCCACTTCTTAAAGTTTCCATTACCTGCCAACAGCACCACCCTGGGACTTATGGCAGATATTCAAGAGCTAAATTATGACACTCTCAAATTTTAAAAAGTTGTTCAATGAAATAAATCAAGGTTTAAAACAGAATTATGTGAAACATTTGGAATAATAAAAATCTGTATGCTTATTTCTTAAAGTTCATTTTAAATAATAACTATATATATTTATAGGGTACAATGTAATATTTTGATACCTTACACATTGTGGAATGATCAAAATCAGGTCAATAGGAGATTCATCACCTTAAATAATTAGCATTTCTTTGTGGTAAGAACATTTTAAAGCTATTTTATTAACTTAGTCACTGTGTTGTGCAGTATAACATGGGACTTATTTCTTCTCTCTCACAGAAACTTTGTTCCCTTTTCCCTTTTTAGCCTTCCCTCAGCTTCTGATAGCTATCATTCTACTCTATTTCAATGAATCTGACTTACTTAGATTCCATGTATAAACAAGGTTATATGGTATTTGTCTCTGTATATGCCCATTTCTTATATACATGTGTCTTAGTACTTGGGGTGGGAGCAAGATATCTCTCCCCCTTATTTTTATTGGTGCATTTTAGTTGTACATGATGGGATTTTTTGTTACATATTCATATGTGCACATGATATAACAATATAATTTGGCTACTATCACTCTCCAGTACCCCCGGGAACCCCTGTTTCCTCTCCTCTACTGATCTTTGTCCTTTTTCTGTTGCTATAATAGAGTACCTGAAACGAGGATATTGATGAAGAAAAGAGACTTTTTCAGCTTACAGTTCTGGAGGCTGGAAAGTTCAAGGGTTTGGTGCCAGCACTTCCTTGCCCTCTACTGAGGGTGTTGTGCTCCTCCATACATGACAGAAAAGCAGAACAAGATTGTGTGCGCAGAAGAGATGAAACACAAAGGGGCAACTTTCTTTATGATGTCACCTGCTCTCGGTAATTAATCTAGTCTCCTATGAGAATAGCATCAATCCATTCATGAGAACTCTGCCCCATGATCTGAATGCCTCCAAACCTGCCCTGCAACCCAACTTGTCAAACTGAGGAAATAAGCCTCAGCATGGGTCAAATCATATTCAAACCACAGAAGATATGTAAAGAAGTTCTGCAAGAATTTGTAGGTTGCCATAAGGAGAGCAAGGCACTGGATGCATGAGGCAAGTAAGGAAGAATTGTTCCAGCTCACATTTGATTTCCGTTTTTTTTAAACAGAAATGTATCACCAAACAGTTGCATAGATATGCATTAAAATTTAAAAAGAAAAATAAAGGAAGAAGAGGATAAGATAGCTTTACCTGGTTATCTCATGACTACTAACACGCTATATTACCTGGTTTTTTGTGGCTACTAATACATCAAATACATTCAGCAGTGCTGGTGGAGGTTAGAGGTGTGATCTGTGGCCTTGGAGCAGAGCAGCAGACGGTGCACAGGGCTCTGAACTAATGGCCCTGGTCTCATTCACACAGTAATGAGCAAACATCACACAGGAAAGTTTCCACATCCTATAGTCTAAAGGAGAGGCTGTTCTAGAAGCCTTCTCCTTTGAGGGACACAAGCCTGAATGAATACATAGTTTTATTCCTTTACTAGTAAGGCTTTTGACACTAAAGTTCTTAACATTCCTTTCCTAGGAAATAGGATGTAGGAGTCCTTGAAAAGGATATGGTTCCCTAGAAAATTCACATCTGTCTTTTAGATTGGAGAAATGAGAGAGATGAAAACCTCATTGATGATCCATTCTTATGGCTGGAATCCTTGTCTTTAAAACATTTTTGAGTTGTCTTTTGACATTCTTTACCCTTCAACCCTTTTCAAAAACAGATGTGGCTGTAGCCTGTCTTTGCTGAAAGAATACTTTCCTCCTGAATGTAAAATTCTCCACAGAACATTAATTTTTCCCTTTTTGACTCTTGTGGTTATTAGCACGCAACACCAGCAAAAGTGGTCCCAGAAATATGAGTGTGCAGCCAAAAACCAAACAAACTCCCAATGGTTGCAATGGGAATGTTGAACTTTCTCAATGTATGCTTCACCAGAAGACCTGGGCTCACCTGCAAGTCTGACACAGACTGCCAATGGATTTGGCATTCTGGGAACAAATGTTGTATATATGAAAGATGGAGGTACACGGTGTGATGAAGGAGAAGAGCCAAATTCCTTCTGATTTTATCCTCCTCCTAGTATGAACCAAAAATATCTACTCCATAAATAGGAAACCATGAAGAATCATAGTCCTTAGAGAAGGGGTTGGGGAAGCAGGAGAGAAAAGAATATCAGGTGTAATAAAATTGAACTTGAAAAAGAACTCCAGCAAAAAAAAAAAAAAAAAAAAGAACTCCAGCAAAAAGAGGGAAACATATTTTAGAACTAAAGCAAAAATAAATATGCTATAAATATAATACAACGCCACAAAGTCTTTTTCTAATTCGAGAAAAAAAAATTTGTCTTCCAATGGACAGACTCTAAGACAAACTGAGTCACAGCAAAATTCTCAATAAAATTCTCAACTCATGCTTCAGAAGATTGAGCATGTGTTCAATTGTAAGTAGAAGCTGAAAGGAGTGTCCTCTAGCTAAGCCCAGAGATGTTGATGTTTTTCTGGCTGAAACCCTGTGTCTCACTGTGTCCCCTCGTGTAGTCATTTGGCAGGAATTTTTGAGGTCTTGGTTTGCTGCTGGTATGAATCCCCTTTCTTCTCTGGGAGTGCAGGAGCTGGGAAGTAAAGGAGAGCCACTATAAAGTGGCTTTAAGTAGTAGAGAACTCCATTTTGAAAAAATGAAATGAGCTTCAGATGGAAGTGAAGCACATAGCCCCACTTTTTTGCTCCTATCTTGTTTGCACAAGATAACTCATGCACCACTTTCTCTTCAACTGAAAGTAGAACCAAGCCTTCTCCTTTACTGCTTTAAAAAATGCCCTAACATCAAACATTCCCATTGGGTCAATTGACCAAATGCATTCCATCCTCTGAGGTTGAAAACTTACAGGCAACTTGAAAGCATTTCTTCACTCATGTTTCTAGAAGACATTAAATGTAGTCAGTTCTTTCTCAGCAGAGTTAAGCTCTTTTTTTTTTTTCAATTTTGCATACTAAAGGGGAATTAAACTAGTTTAACCTTCCATTCATTGCTGGATTCCTCTTTGATAAGATAAAACAGCCTCTTGATTAAAATCTCCAAGGATCTGAGCATATCTCCACCAAAAAGAAGTCCAATTCATTGTTGAGTAGCTCTGGTTGAACACAGTTCCTTGCATTTCACTGATAGTTTCTTCCTTAAGAGCTCCATGTTGTTCATTGAACAAGTCTAATTCCCCTTTCTCCTAATAGCCTTTGGGGTACAGAAAGATGGTTTTTCTCTGTGAACTATTTGTAATCTGAGCACACTGTATCTGTCCCCACAATGTGGCCACATCTGTCATGTTGATCTTTTAATGTCACCTGCAATCAGTCTGGTACCTCATTTTTCCCCCAAACAGCTTTATCTTTGTCAGTCACTTGTTGGAAAATCACCAGTCATTGTTCTATTAAAACCAACTTTATGCTGTGTCCTTCCCGCCAGCTGGCCCTAATTGGTATACAAAATATATGTCTATTTACCAATAAAGCCATCTGGCTTTACTTAGGCCAACCTTTGTAATGGTCCCTAAGTTACTTTCCTGACCTCTGCTTCTAACTTTAGACACTCCTATTGGTTCCTCATCTGGTCATCTTTATGTTGCCTTTTCCAAAATCATAGTTTCTTAGTGGTGTTAAAGATTCGCCTTTTCCAGAGAGCCTACCCTGGACAATGTTGGCCTGAATTATGCAACAAGTATTTTGAATTCTTTCTCATAAGTGAATGTCTTAGTTCTCCTAGTAAAACACATTTTGAAATGGAGATTTGTGTGCCTAAAATTTTTTAGAGTATTCTCAGATGCAACATCTGGGTGGAAGTAGGGAAAGAAGGACTGAGTGTAGGGGGAATTTGAACTGTAGTTTGAACTGCTGCAGATACAACAGAAGCTTCAGCCAAATAATAGGGCACCCTGGAGCAGAGAGGGACCTTCAAAGCTATCCCTATTGAGGCAGGGGGCTGGCCTTTGTATCCCTCTACATTCCTCTTATGAGATGTGGACGGCTCTAGGGAAGGAAAATGACTTTGAGCAGCCAGCTTCTTTTTGCCATGAATAATTCCTGGGGAGAAACTGGCTGTGAGTCCTTAGTAGTGACAATTTTAGCATCTGGTAAAATGAATGGCTCAGCTCTTAATGTTCTCAACAGGTGCAATTAACAACAGTCTAGTTTGTGCTGATCTAGACACATATGAGTTCAGGGATTCCAATGTACCTCCTGGGATGTGGTTCTAGTCCTTTGGGGCCAAGGACTGGGGATGTACGTCATTATCTAGTAAAGCACTGTTTTTTGAGAGGGGACAGGTGGAGATGAGTTAAAATAGTTGAAAAGAGTTAATATGTGAAATCCCACTAATATTGTATGCAGTTTGGATATAAGGTTTTAATTTTGTTTGCTTTTCTTAAAAATTAGGAATTTTAAAAATTAGGAATTGTGGTTGTGCATGCCTATAATCCCAGCTACTTGGGAGACTGAGGTAGGAGGATAGCAAGTTCAAGGCCAGGCTAGGCAATTTAGCAAGACCCTACCTCAAAATGAAAAATAAAATGGGCTGGGGATGTAACTCAGTGGTGGAGTATTCCTGGGTTCAATCCCCAGTACCATTAAAGAAAAAAAAAAAAAAAAAAAAGAAATACCTATAATTTGATTGTGAGAAAAATACTTAAATACAATCCTATAGATTCTAGGCTTTGAAAAATTGATCTCTTTAATTTTATTAGTAGCACTATGTTGCATAGTGTGTTTATTTACATGTTATATACAGAAAAATACGCAGATTCTAAGTGTTCAGCTTGATCAACTGTTGCTTAGCGAAGACATGCATGTACCCTGCATCCACAAGAAGAGAAATTCACCATATCTCAAAAAACCCATGTGCCCTTATCAGTCCCTTTCCCCAGCAAAAGGTAACCTGTGTCTTGACCCTTTTCACCAGAGGTTATTTCATATTTTATTGTACTTTATATTTATATAAATGAAATTGTACAGTATGTACTCCTTTGTGGCTGGCTTCTTTTCCTCAGTTATGATTGTGAGCATCATCCGTGTCATTATGCAAAGTTGTAATCTATTTATTCTCATTACTGAATTATTCTCATTATTCATTACCCATTACAGACATATCATAATTGATTTATCCATTCTACCATAGATGGACATCTAGTTGTTCCCAGTTTGGTGCCATTATGAATGGATGTTCTTGTACCTATTCCCTAGAATACTTGTACATGCATTTCTGTGAGCTATGTACAGCAGACCCTTTATCTGCAGAAATAAGTTCCAAGGCCTCCAGTGCATGCCTGAAACTGAAGATAGTACCAAACCATATATAAACTATGTATATATAAATATATATCTATATCTCCATGGTAAAGCTTAATTTGTAAATTAGAAACAGTAAGATATTAACAATAACAGTAAAATGAGCAATTATAAAGATGCAGTATAATAAAATTCATATGAATGTTGACACCCCCCACCCCCCACCCACAATATCTTATTACATTGTTCGCTAAAGAAAGCACTCTGGTTTCTTTTTGGTATATCTGAATTGCTAGCATCATTGCCATTGTGCTTTGGGCCAATTATTAAGTAAAATAAGTGTTACTTGAACACAAGCAATGAGTTACAGTGATGGTTGATCAGGTAAACAAGATGGCAGGTAGTATATTCAGTATGGATATGCTAGTCAAGGAGAAGAATCACTTCCCAGTTGGGACAAGACAGCAATGTGAGATTTCATCCTGCTACTTGGAACAGAGAGAAATTTAAAATTTTTTACTTTTTTCTGGAATTTTCCATTTAATATTTTTAGACCATGTTGACTATAGGTGACTGAAACCTGAGAAAGTAAAACTGCAGCTAAGGTGGGGAGTTGAGCTTATGAACTATAAAAAATATATGTTTAACTTTTAATAGATATTACTAGTTTTCCAAAGTGATGTACTAGTTCACCTACCCCCAGACATGTGTATCCTTGCCACCAGGTGGTTTCATCTGTCTCTTTCATTTCAGCAATTCTGGCAGGTATGTAGTAGTGTCACGTTATGGTTATGATTTGAATTTTCTTTATGACTAATGAAGTTGAGCTTTCTTGTAATGTTGTTTGAGCATTCCCTACAAAAGGCTGGTGAAAGCTTTTGCCAATTCTCCTGTTGGGTTTTCCAGGCAAAGTCTTCTTTATGGTATGATACTATGACTTATTAACATGCCAAGATGCTCATGATAGAGTCAGAGGAAATATAGGTATGGGGTATAGTGCAGCTTGTTTTCTGTAACTGTATTTTTTATTAATAATTATATGAACTTGAAGAATAGTATACTGAAGTACAAGCTATAGGTCTCTCTGATAGGGAAAATAATGAATAATTTTAACTTTCTATTTTCTAGCTATTCTTATTTGTTTGAATTTGTTTTAATAACAAGCATAGATTGCTTTTATAACCTGGAAAAACTGTGAAGCTATCTTCACTAATAATCCAAAAGCCAAAACTCTAAATGAGACAAAACCTTAAGAGCATGTTCTGTTTGGCCCATCCATCAACCTGTCCCTGTGTGAAACACTGAGGGGCACTCAGAGCAAGCCTCCTCTCTGGGCACAGTTTGAGAGTATGAGCGAGGAGGTGAGAGTGTAAAATGAAGAATAGCTCTTCTTGCACAACAGCCATGTGCTCCTTCCTATCCTGCTGAGCCTGGGAGATGATCAGGGCCATAAAGACTGGCTAATTACTTAAATTACCTCTTCTTCGTAGAAGCAAACTTTCCTAGTGACATCCACTGGGCTTATTTGGTTTGATTATGAGAATCCTGCTGTTAGCTGGGATGAGAAGAGCACATTATTACAGCGCACAAGTGTAATGCTTTTGTTTACATTTTACAAAGCAAACAGGGTGACTTCCAGTCTTATGTAACTTGGAGTCCTATGAGAAACACGTGATACCTTCCTCCCTCTTCTGTTCCCTTCCATTTGGTCCCACTAACCTCACCCATAAACCAAAAGCAAACATCAAGCTATCCTACCCATCAACATATAGCTTCTAAACACTTTTGAAACACTTTAATTTTATAGAAAAGGTAAAAATACAATAAAAAGAACTTTCCCCCCTGCACCACTTGATAGTAAATTTCTCACGATTCTTTATTGCTCCAAATAATTTAGTATTGTCTACAAAGAGGGGCATTCTCTTATATAACCATTACAATTGAGAAGTTAACATTGACACACTACTACCAC